GTCAAGGATTGTGAAATAAAAATTCTGAGATTCGTTTCCATTATTTTATTATTCAGAATTAAATCTTTATTTTTATGTTTCCGAGATTTTTCCAAGATACACAAACGTTTGGGATTGACTGTATAGCCAATACATCCTTAAGTTGATCGTTTGACAGAGGAAATAGACTAAACTAAACATTAATGTAGATTTTCTAACAAGACCGATTTCTGTCACTGTCATTTCCTTTCATAGAATAACTGAATATTTCAACAATTACTCAATTCCGAAAACGTAGAATCGTCAGATTTATTAATTTGACGTATAACTGACACGCAGTCATTTAAAAAGTTATGATGCAAACGTCTGATGTGACTGAAATAGAAAATAGAATAGTCCACGTCCTATATCTGCGAGAAAAAATCGATACGGGGCGGTACAGAAGCAATTTACAATTGAGAAAATCGTAGTGTAATGCGAGAAAAGTATGTAAAAGGCGATGACCTAATTCGCATGTATAAACTGACTCATCCTATAATCCAACTTCGCTTCATAATTTCATCACGCAGCGAAAAGAACTTGTTCAAACAAAGGAACGCGTTATCGCGTCAAGCAAATATTTAATAGCACATAAATTTTCGATATAAACTTCTCGCAACGAGCTCGTGTTCTCCAAAGAGAAGTTAACTTTGTGGCGAGCTGAGAAACAATTTTCAACAGAATATTTTTAGTTGTCAAAGGCGAGAATAAAAATTCTTCAGATCAAAAGGCTCGAAGAAATTATTTCATGACAGAATTAACTTGTAACGTCAATAATTCCTCGATTCATAGTTGAAACGAAGACATTTCCTTGGGATTTAATATGGACGTTCGATTGACGTACCGTCGCCCAGTTTTTCCGCCCTGTTATTTAATTGAGTGCGAAACGGGAGGATAGGAAAGATAGAACGTCGATTATCGAGCCCATCAATCACTACTCCGAGGCTTTGCTCGCATACTCGTTCTTTAGCCCTGATCGATTAAGAGCCAGCCCGTGTTTCCACGTAATGCACGTCATCGACCGATTAAGTGTCGCGGGTTGCACGTGAGTCGCTCGAAAAAAGATTCCGATCATCACTACTCTTGCTGTATCGCGAATAAACGAGCTTGAAAATTAATCCCGAGCTGTGCTCGTTTAATCGCATTACAATATTTCATAGAATTTTCCTTCATGCACAAACAGACCTGATGAACATTTAAAAGAACCAGTTTTCATGTATTTAAACTTAGAATGATTTTTAATGATTATTTCTGAGTGAAATCACCAATTCGCCTGAACATTAATTCCAATCGAGGCATAGATTAAAGAGCGTCTATGTTTTGCTACTCGCCTCCTTCCGGCTTCTTCTTTGACCATCGCGTGTGCAACCGCGACCGATGATGATGATGATGATGGTGGCCGCGCGTTGCATCAGAGCCTCGCCAGCCTTGGACTTGCTCGCGAGGTTGGGACGAGCAGCCAGCCGTAGATCCTACACAGGGCAACGAAGGCTCGTCTTCTATTGCCCGTGCAACCACTCTGCTCGAGTGCTAACTAATTAAGCAATCACGGCCATTATCAGGGTCTCGCGATGGCGTGCAGAAACTTTTCTCATTGCCCATTAATTGAGATCAATTAGACGATTGACATTTTTCAAAACTGTTCACGTATTGAACTTATTTTAATTAATTTTGATAAATGAATTTATAAATCAATCTGGATTTCTATATTCAGATTGCAAATGTTTTATTTCGCACATGATTTAATGAATTTAGCTTGAATCGTGAATTTCGACGACGTTGAAGAGAAAGATTTCACTTGTCTGTCGAAAGTGAGAACAGAGGAACGAAGCTGAACAGGGTCGAAAATACCGGCGCGATGTTGTCGGCAGCTGCAACGAAAATATATTCTTCACGGAATGCCGGCGTCGATTCCTGGAGTGGTTCCAATTTTAAAAACCAGCCTCCGACCGCAGACGAGATATACGAGTAGACCTTTCACCTTATGATACTCTTGTGTCTTACGTTCGACTGGCATACGGACTAGAGGAATTAACGATGATTACGTACATCCTCCGTTCATGAGTAGCCATCGATTAAACTTCAGCTTTACTCAAATAATGTGCTGGAGAACGGGAGGGATGTTTGCAAAGATTGGGCTTTGGTAACAAGCATAATCAAAAGCGAAACCATAATCGTAATGAGATTCCGAATTAAAATCAGAATCATAATCAGGAGTAAAATCGAAATCGAAACCTCAATCCTAATCAAGACTCGAATTAAAATCAGAATCATAATCACGATCACTATTAATATCGACATCGAAACCACGATCCTAATCAGAATCCGAATTAAATGAGAGGGTACGTACGAAATTGATTTCAACTGCAATCCGTTCACTCAATGTTATGTTTTCAATTTCCGGTTTGGTAGATTCACTGAATAAAGTAATATGTAATCACTGCTTTAGAATATTTGACCAAAAATAGCGAAATAAAAATTCTAATATTCATTTCTATTAATTTATTAATGAGAATTTAGTCATTTCCATTAATCGTCCATAGTTATTCGAGAGATTTTAAAGGGAGTGACCACTGACTTATAGTAACCCCCAGAATTGGTCATGTAGTCAATTTATTTACCTCGTCTGCATGAGACAAACGACCTTAGTGAAACGGCGAACAAAATTATTGGCTAATAATAATCAGATTGCGTGGAGCCAAAGTCCAAACATTCTATTACTTTCGTCTGGTTAAATTATACGTACAGCTTGCGAGTTGCGATTGTCTCGTGGAGTCGTAGACAGCGGAGAATTACGCGAGACAGAGATGCTTTATACAAAGAATCCTCGGATTAGTCGAAAGAGCCGGGTAAAACGTGCCAATGAATCTCCTTGCCGAAATACCAGCCGATGTCGCCTGAATCTTGGCTGATTCATCGTTCGCACGTACAAGCTCGTGAATTCTTCCTCGAATATTTTCTACTGCTACTTTTAAGATCTATTGATCACATACTTCCTTCCTCATTATTTTTATACACCGTCAGACCGATGTGCAGTGTTCAGAAATTCCATTCATCAATTCTTACGATCTACTCTGTAGGAGATTTTAATTAAATCAGAATTCTATACATATTTCTATGTATATAAATATTTAGATATTCTTCTGAGTAAATCACTAGTTAATATTATCAAATAATTTAAAGTCATTTTATTCTATTTTAATGAAATGAAATAATTTGTTCATTTTCAGCTGCGAGGGGTGCAAGGGATTCTTTAAGAGGACCGTACGCAAGGATCTCTCGTACGCGTGTCGCGAGGAGAAGTCCTGCATCATTGATAAGCGGCAGAGAAATCGATGTCAGTATTGCAGATACCAGAAATGCCTGGCGATGGGCATGAAGAGAGAGGCGGTCCAGGAGGAGCGTCAGCGTACCAAGGAAAGGGATCAGAGCGAGGTGGAGAGCACCAGCAGTTTGCACTCGGACATGCCGATCGAACGTATCCTGGAGGCCGAGAAGCGAGTCGAGTGCAAAATGGAACAGCAAGGAAATTACGAGGTATATATGAATTATTTAAGAAAGACTATCGAACTACTGGGACAGTTCATGTCGTCGATCGTACGCATTAGAAGCATTTATAGCATTTCTCGATATTCTGTATACACGACTCGAGTTCTCAATTGACTTCAAACATCATTTCTAATTCTTACTTTCATGATTTGATGAAGTATCAATTTAGCTGCTTTCTTGAAATTCGTGTGAATTATAATTTTGATGAAAGAGTCGTTTATACTTGATACACGTATAAAAATTTTATTTCCGAAAAATTAAATTTATTCGAACGGTGATAAAAGATTATATAATTCAGCCTTTAATTATTATCAGAGCTTCCAATCTGAAACTCCTAAATAAAATGAATTTATAGACCTTTTGGTAAAATCATTGAATCATCGTACGTGATTAATTTTTATTTATTCCTCCCAACATTGGACGCGCGAATAATTCCGATAGTCAACTCCACCCTCCGCGAATCCCTTTTCTCGTGAACAACGACGCTGTAATCTGACTTTCGTGGAACAGAGACGCGCCTCTATTCCACGAAATGCTCCTCCGATTAATTCGGCGTCTCTTGCAATGCACAGAATGCAGTGTCGCACATTTGCAACGCCACGAACAAACAGCTGTTCCAGCTGGTAGCCTGGGCGAAACACATCCCGCATTTTACGTCGTTGCCGCTGGAGGATCAGGTACTACTGCTCAGGGCTGGCTGGAACGAGTTGCTGATAGCCTCCTTCTCGCACCGTTCCATCGACGTGAAGGACGGTATCGTCCTGGCCACGGGGATCACCGTGCACCGCAACACGGCCCAGCAGGCTGGCGTCGGCACGATATTCGACCGGGTCCTCTCGGAGCTCGTGACTAAAATGCGCGAGATGAAGATGGACAGGACGGAGCTCGGCTGCCTCAGGTAATTAATTCAACGATTTAACTTTTAAGAATCTTAAAAAATATAGTCTCTTAAAAAGATATATACATTTTGAAAATGAAATGTATTTTAATAAACACCGGTTTTATAATTATTTAAATTGTGCATATATTTTTTGGGACACCCTGTATTACTACGAGCACCCTTTAGTGCCACGTTCTTTGACGATTCTAAACTTATTTGAAATCGTACACGTTAGATAGAATGTAAGGAGCGTTTAACTTATGATTGCAGATCTATAATACTCTTCAACCCCGAGGTGCGAGGCCTGAAGTCGATCCAGGAGGTGACCCTGCTCCGGGAGAAGATCTACGCGGCGCTCGAGGGCTACTGCCGCGTGGCTTGGCCCGACGATCAAGGTAGATTCGCAAAACTCTTATTACGCTTGCCGGCGATCCGCTCGATCGGTTTAAAGTGCCTGGAGTACCTGTTCTTCTTTAAAATGATCGGCGACGTGCAGATCGACGATTTCCTCGTCGAGATGCTGGAATCTCGGTCGGACCCTTAGGAGCAGAAGGTGTGCCGCGTGTTAGGGCACACCGATCTCTAATAAAGAACAGACGATTGCGTATGAACACATACACGCGTGTATAATATATA